CATTTAACAGAATTAATTATTCTTTCAAGTATTTATTCTTTATTTCTCATCAGTTATTTAATAATTATATTATTGTGATTGTTGTTATAAGAATCATGGGTTATAAAAAATTCAAAAATTCCAGTTTTCTATCATTTGTAACAGATTTTTAATCATTATTATTCATGGTCAGATCAATAAGGTCATCTTGCTGAGCATCCAAGAATTGCAACTCTTCTTGTTCCAACAGTCCCTCCTCACGCAGTTCTTCTTGATTTTCAAATTCTGTAAAGATTGATTCACCAGTAATCAGCTTTTCCCATATTGATTGACAACTGTCAATCAAGGAAGACCATTCCTGGAGAATACTGTGCGGATTGATCTCTTCAGATTCAAAATACTTCCTACTCCAATTGATAAGCTCAGTGCAATGAGAATTCCAAGCCATCCAAGTCCGACAGTGCCTCCTTGCAATATTTCCATAAATGGATTCGATAACTGATCTGGGTATGTTATGCTTTCTGCAGAGGTTGAATAAGAATTCGTGGCCTTCCCTATATTCCACATTCTCTTGAGATAAATCTGGAAATACATTTAAAAGTAGATTCTTTTGAGCTTTTGATACTCAGTAAGATCTAAAAGAGTACTAACCATCTCTCAAAAGTTTCAACATAGAATCCAATTCCAATCCAGTTTTGACCGCCCATTTGACAGCTTGTCTAGCCTCCCTCAAAATTCGATGCAGCTCATCTTGACAATGGCTCACTAAACGATATGCCTCAATCCCCTTCTGCACATTGGAGTCTGTTGCCCAAGGCTCCTCTGGATGAGTTATTGAGCCACTATTCCAGAAGTGATCATTCAGTGTCATCGACTTGACCTCTTCAAAATCTGGGGTGGCCATTTGAACATTGTCGGCATAAGAATCGTTATAGTCGGTGGCCTTTTTATCATAGGAGATCCACTTGTTTTTGAGAAGCTTCATCTTTGCGTTCATTGTCTTTTTGAATCTTGCTTGCATACGAGTCCCTAAATATTAAGAGTAATCAGATTTATGATGCACTATGTTAGCATTTTCCAATAGTTAGATTGTTGAACTCAGGGCATTGGATCAATGGCAAAATATTTCTTGTAAAATTCCAAGGACAAAGTATTGAACTGAAACTGACCTGATCCCCTTTGGTCCCATTTTCTTTGCAACTCAACCACTCCAACCTTGGCCTCATACAGCTTGGATTTGCTGACCTTGATCTTGATCAAAAGCTTTGTTTCCATATCTACATAGAGAGGAGATATATAGTCAGTCCAGTTTTTATAATGTATGATTAATTGTGTCAAGTTTCAGACCTGAGGCCCCAGGTAGATTGCGAAAAGCATCAGATCCAAGCTCTTGTACAATGCTATCAATTTCTTCTTCCAAGAAGACAAGTGTATCAGGAAGTTCTTCCATAGCTCTGATATCAGCTGCTGTACGGGTTCGCCTCCTTTTTCGCCGGAGCTGAATCAGGTTTTCACTGCCAAATTGTATTGCTTATTAGCCAAACAATGATTTGATCATGTTAGAGAATGTTGAAAATCTTACTGTGCCTCACGGAGTTGGTCCTCCATCTCAACCAGCTCCTCAATCTGTTTCTCCAACTCCTTTGCTGGCTCGTTTTCCATCAAAGCAAGCTGACATTCTCTCTGTCTGATCCATTGTGCTTGCAAGTATTCAGTTGTGTGCCCCCAGTTATGGAATATTTGGTTCAGGGTTAAAATTGCTTCTTCCATCTGTTTCTCAATGTCTTTGCCTCGATCTAGCAATAGCTTTACTGAAGACAAAAATATCAGCTATTCATCACCCCTAAAATGGAAAAATGTACGCATCAGAAGGACTCACAAGCATGAGTTTTACCTACTTCATTGTGATGGCAAGACCTCAAATCCAATGCAACCAGGCGATGATTTTTGGTTGAGTACCTAAGTGGACCAATAAGGGGGGACAAATATGACCAAATTCGCTCCAAGCCCTCTCCGTCTGACATTCCCCACCCGTCATTTAACCTTGGATTGTATCGGAGTTGACATGACCATTCATGGACATGTGCATGAAAGACACTGGTGCCAAACATTAGTTGATTTTGGGCTCTTTCTTCGCTGAATAGATTTCTCTTCAATCAAAAATATGAATGTTGTATTAGTTGGATAGCCATAGTTGTAAATATAATGATGATTTCATTGCAATATACTAGAGAAACAATAAACAACTCAACTTTGATAATTCCCTTTTCAATATTACATCCAATATCATACAAAAAAGCCCATCTCTTCTTGACTTCCTCATCCGCCCTTGTAGTATTCATAAGATTATTAATCATGGTCATTGGGAAATAAGCTCTAAAAAATTTACTGGGGTCAGTTTATACATATAAGCTTGGATTGTCTATACATGACAGACTTTTCTCCACTCTGAACAATATTTATAACCCGCAAAACTTGGTCATGTCGACAAGCCATTCCAAAAATTCCGGTGTCGTCACAAGCTTTCCAGGTAGTTGGGCCCCTGACATCGTTGGCTGCTGTGTGTTGTTCCGTACAGCGATCCTATGATAATTGTTGGAATGGGTTAGAATTAAATTTAACTCATTCAATGTTAAGTAATGAATCAACTGACCAAATTGTCATTGACTTCATCTGGTTGAGTATTTCCTCTCATGGTGCTTTCCATTTGGAGAACTTCGTCCGGATCAATAAAGAGGGTGAATGTTTTGTTTTGCTCTGGGATTCCACTACTCGCAGCCAGATGTCTTCGATGCTGAAAGTTTCCATCCATACAAACTATGAAATCTGGTTCATTTTCCTTTTTACCTGGAACCGGGGGTCCAAAACATTTCGGACAAATTGCAGACAATTTATCGATCGGTTCCATTTTGAGCAGCTCTTCTGTTAGTAGCTTTTCTCTTCTTAACATTTCTCGATATGCA